TGATTTGTTAGCCGGAAGTGATAAGGGACCACCATGGCCGCCACCATGAACCACCACCAGCCACCACAAGGGTGGCTGTGTGTGTATTATTTTATGAGTGTGTGTGTTATTTAGACATTATTGTAAATTGTATTGTAATTTGTATCGGAATAATGAAAAAGAAAAGTATAAACCACCACCGTGAGGTGGTGGCTGCCGCCACCGGCCGCCGTGTCGGGTGGCGGTGTGTTTTTCCTTGTCGTGTTTGATTTGGTTGGGATGCTTGAAGCCCTAATGGGCCTAATGAACCCTAATTGATCAAAGGACCTAGCTATTGGTCCTATTAGGCTAAGATGGGTTGGAAACCCTAACTAGGGTTTGGAAAACCCTAATGTCATGAAACCCTAATTTGGGATTTTTCGGGACCGCATCGGGATTATTTAATGAACTTGAAATATTAATTAACAAACATTGGAAAATTAACTTAAAGGAAATATTGGACCTAATGGGTTAAGAAGGAACACTTAACCCTAACCGACATTTTATGTGAAAAACCCTAATTGGAATTGGGTTCTTAATGGGCCAATTGGGAACATGTTATGGACTAAGGAAATCATTGGGACTTAGGATGTGACCTGTTAGAGAGGCTTGGGCCCAATTGGGAAAAATTAGGCCATAAGCGGGCCACATCTAGGCCCTGGGGATTATGAGAGGTTGGGCCATGGGAATGCCCCATTGTTTGGGCCCAATTTGGAAAATTGGGCCATATGTTGGGCTTTGGCCCATTACTCGGCTTTGGGCATTTGGAGTGTGATTTGGACCTTGAGCTTGGTACCCAATTATTAATTGGGTATTATTTGATGTTGACAGTTCAGGAATCTGTCAACCAGCAACCGAAGTTTTATTCGTGGGACTTCAGCAGTGTCAGGTGAGTCTTCTCACCATACCAATGGGTCTAAGGCACCAAGGCCGACCCATTTTATGATAGTTGGTATACTTGCTATGTAGAGGTGTGTGATATGTATGTATACATGATATGCGGTAGAGATAGCCTTTTTGGCTAATGGTAGAGATAGCCTTCTGGCTAATGGTAGAGACAACCTTTATGGCTGATGGTAGAGATAGCCTTGTGGCTAATGGTAGAGATAGCCTTTGTGGCTAACGGTAGAGATATCTTGTATAGCTAACTGATATGTGATAATGGTAGAGATAGCATTTATAGCTGATTGATATGTGATAATGGTAGAGATAGCTTTTATAGCTGATTGATATGTGATAATGGTAGAGATAGCTTTTATAGCTAAATGATACGTGATATGTGGTAGAGGTAGCTTTTATAGCCACTTGCTCTGTATTATGCGGTATAGATAACTATTACAACTAATAAGATATGTGGATTGTGGATTGTGTGTGGGGTATGTTCTGGGGGACTCACTAAGCTTCGTGCTTACAGTTTATAGTTTTGGTTTCAGGTATCGTCGATTTGGAAAAGAAGGGCTCGGATTGATCGCAGTGCACACACCTATGATTCCCGCAATGAATGATTTTGGGACGAACTCTGATAAATGTTTTTAATTAAAAATGTTTTGGAATGTTTGGAATAAATGGTATCTATGTTTAGCTATATTAAAAATGAAATTTTTACCCCTGATTTTGGGTCGTTACACACGAGTATAGTGAGAAGACACATGAACTATTCAACAGAAGTTCAACAGCTACCTCAGCATCAGAACATCCAACCCAAGCTTCCTAAAACCAAACCGAGACCAACCCTTAGTCAAATGCTCAATTCTACTCAAGTTTGACCAAAAGTCAAACTGCTCAAAATTTCAATGGACAAATCAAGGTCAAAACTGTCAATCAGCATCCCTCCATGTTGTGGCCCTCCTTGGCCACGTCGTGGGTACTAAATGCCAAAACAGACGAAGATTCCCCGGTCGCCATGTTGTGACAACCTAAGGCCACATCGTGGGGACTATTAATAACAACTCAAACGAACTTAATCCATTTTCTTCTGATTTCAAGAGCTCCAAACCAAAGCTCATATCTGGTCCATTTCCAACTTTATCCCTAGTCATCCCAATAGGCCAAAACTTCTAACCCTAAGTCCTTAATAACATCATGAGGCATGAGCTAACCTATTAAGCTCTTAATCAACTAAGACACCCCACCAAACTTTCCAGAAGACTTTCATACCCAAAATACACCATAAAAATATGTGCTTTATGGAAATGCATGCCCAATGCATGTCCCACCCCAAAATAGGTCAAATCCAAGGAAGAAAAAGGGCTTAAACTTGCACATGAGGCCAAATACACCAAGGAACACAATATATGAAGCATATAACCTCAAATAGACCTCGAGGATCCATAAATTGCCAACTTTATGGAACCCATTCCTTCAACTCTTACAATAATGAAGAAAAAGGACAAGAACCCTAGATCTAGAAGTACAAACCAAAAAGCTAGAAACTTAAAAACTGACAAGGGTCCAAAATATGATGATGATGATGATGATGATGATGATGATGATCATGCTTACTGGATTAATGTACCAAAACACCTTCTTCTACTTCAACGCACCAATAATACCAAAATAGACCAAAACTCTTTAAGGGAGGCTAGGATTTTGAGGCAAATGGTTAGAGGATGAAGAGGATGCTCTAATCCTCTGGAAATGTTGTTTAAGTATGGGAGGAAACCCTAAAGTTTCAGGCTTGGTCCAGAACAGTTGCCATGTTGTGGCGCCTCTTAATGTCACACTGTGGCACTCGTTAATACATATGTTCCATTTCTTCTATGCCACGTCGTGGCATCATAGTTTTTCCTAAAAACTCCATCTTTGGACCCTAATGAATATAAAGTTAAACCAATATTGGAACACGGGTGTTACATCTTATGTATCTTACCAATTGTACTAGACCCGACATTTCTTTCGTTGTAAACTTGCTAGAAAGGTTCAGTTCATCCCCAGCAAAAAGACATTGAAATGGGATCAAGCATATTTTACGATACCTTCGAGGAACTACTGATTTGGGTTATTTATCCTAATGATTCAAAACAAGGTTTGATTGGTTATGCAGATACAGGTTATTTATCTGGTCCTCATAAAGCTAGATTTCAAATTGGATACGTATTCATGAAAGGAGGGGTTACAATTTCCTGGCGCTCTCAAAAGCAAACACTTGTCGCCACATCCTCAGATCATGCTGAAGTAATTGTACTAAATGAAGCTAGTAGAGAATGCACATGGTTAAGATTAATGAGACAACTCATTTTGTCTTCATGTGGACTAGATAAACATAAAGGTCCAACTTTAATTTATGAGGATAACTCAGCATGAGTCACTCAAATGAAAGAAGGATATATCAAGAGCGACAAGACAAAACATATACCTCCCAAGTTTTTTAGTACATTCAAGAGCTTATAAAAGATCAAAAGGTTGAGATAGAATATGTTTAATCCAGCAACAATGTAGCAGACCTATTCACGAAAGCACTTCCTACTGCAATCTTCAGAAAACATGTACATGGCATTGGAATGGGACATGTGCATAACACGTAACGTAACAGATGTCTAAATGAGGGGAAGTCAACTATATACTGCACTCTTTTTCCCTTTGTTAAAGTTTTTTCCCACTAGGTTTTTTTAGCAAGGTTTTTAATAAGGTAGTACTTCAAGGTTGAACTCAGATTAGAAAAATTGTCATCCAATGGGGAGTGTTATAAAAATTACATCAAATTATTGAGTTAGACAATGCATGTGGGTGAACAATTTTCACCCCTTGAATAATTTTCTTTACCTATTAAATTACTATTTTGATGATGTATGAATAACATGTTATGTAGTATAAATATTCATCAAATATAAAGAGAAAAACACACCATCTTAAATACAATCTTCTAAGTATTTAAGGATCCTCTCAAATCTTTTTTTTATAATGTTTTAATTTATTTTTGTTAGTTTTAGTTTTAATTACATCGAATTTATATTATATTGTATTATATTATATTATACTCCCTCCGTCACAAAATTATTGTCTACGTTTGACTTTTTAAGTCTCTTTCGTTCAACTTTGACCTCAAATAATTTACTTTTTGTTATACAATTTTTTATGCAAGATATATGAATAGATTGTTTTTTAAATATATTTTCATTGTTATAAGTTTCATCAAAAATTATATAAC